AAAATACAACAATAACTAATGTCATTAAATTGAATTTTTAATACATTTGTTGTTTAGGATCGATTCACCCTATTCCAATTAATGTAAAGTGTTAAAAAACTTTTTAAATGTTAATTTATAAAATATCAATTTTTATGTTGTTTTGATTTAGTATTAAAAAACTCAATGCTAATTTGTATGGCCCTTTCAAAAACCAAATTAACATTACTGTCATTCATAGAAGAACATTCAACGTATCCCTTAGCTCCTATATCTTTTGCCATCTGAAGACCTTGTACTGTTGTAATTCTTTGATAAATACCTTTTGGTATATTACTTTCAATTTTTTCTTCCGATTCCCTTAAATCACTTTTGAGGCCAACTAACAATATTGGAGAGTATTTATTTTTCTGTCTAATTTCTGGCAGCCAACGTGTTTTGAGATTTTTATAGGAATCTAAATAAACAAGTGAAAAACATAATACAAAACATGAAGTGTTAACATAAATCGACCGTCTGATAGGAGGGTAATCTACTTGTCCGCCAGTATTAGACAACCCTAAGTCAATTTGAATATCATTGTAAGTCACATTCATTACATAGTTATCAAATAAAGTGGCTGGACAATCATAAGGAAATTCACCGGTCTAGTATTTAAGGAGTAAACAAGTTTTCCCAACAGAGACATCCCCATTAAAAAGCAATCTTATTTTTTGTGTGGTCATTTTTAATATTCACAGTTTTGAAATAAAATTAAAATGATTTTTTTTATTTTTAAAAAATAGTAAAATGATAAAAAGTTTAGTTTTAGAGTGTTTTTTTTTCGTTAAAATTTTTTATTATATTCGGTGTTTTTTTGAAAAGTTTGTTTTAATATTAAAATTTATTAATATATAAAATCGGTTTTTAATTCAAAGAAAGTTATAGATCGTAGAACAAATAAAAATTGTTTTACAACATATTGATTGGCTAGTTGTGAGAAAAATAGACTTGTTTGACAATTTAGATTACGACGAATAGACATTTTCACTGTATTTATATATATATTTTTTATATATTTATAGTAAAAATTCTATCGGTGTGTGGAGTCATGAAAATTGTTTTCCCAAGGTGTGTAATTTTTTTCTTTTCTTTTTTAATTTCTGGCAAAAAAACTAAAAAATAATGAAATTTGTAAAACAATCCACAATCAAGAAAACAACAAAATATATTTTTTTGTTTTTTTGAGAAAAAAACGCGACACGTGTAAACATACAATAATATTTTGAATTTTATTTAATTTGTCTAATTGTTTGGAATAAGAACAACGCATTGTGTTTTTGTATAAACATGTGAACTTTTGGTGCACGTTCTTGTCAATTTACAACTCAAGTACGTCTTTGAAATTATCTTCAATTGCTTCTTTGTCTTTTGTTGATAATGTTGAAAAAATTTGCTTGTTCACTGTGTTATTACACGGTAGCATAAGGTGAGTGTCGATTTTTAGCCTCAAAAGTCATCATCTTGTCGTCCTTTGCCTTGAACTTCTTTGCGTCTGCAACCATCTTGTCCACCTGTGCCTTTGAGAATCTTCTTCCCTGTTGTCTCGTTTTCAGGCGACACATTTAATATCCCATTTGCATTTGTGTCAAATGTGACTTCAACAGTGAGACTCCATGTAGTGCTAATAAGATATCAAACAACCCAAATATTCCAAGCAGGTTGCGATGTGATGTCATAGATGCCTCGCCCTCAAAGACTTGGATAAGCACGCCAGGCTGGTTGTCTGCATGTGTCGAAAATATCTGTGACTTCCTTGCTGAAATTGTTAAGTTTTGTGGTATCAATTCTGTCCACACACCAATCACAAGCGTGCTCTTGTGATTGGTGTGTGGAAGTCGGTGCATTTTTATTATCATTTAAAGTTTAATATTTTTTGATGAGCATTTTATGCTTTTCTTTTGTTATCTTTTTTGAATTTATTTTTGTTTGATAATTTTTCTCTTTTTAAGTTTTTATTACCAAGTCTTTACTCTTTTAAAATAAAAACAAATTTGCAATTGACATTATTTTTGCGGGTTTTGGTGCTAAATATGTAAAAAAAAATCATTATATTCTATCAGTGTGTAGGTCACTTTTGATTGGTCAAAATCACACACCAATAAAATTTCTACTGTATACACACAAATAATAGTTCATTTTTTAATCATTACATTAATTTGTTATGAATTATTTTTACATAATAATCAATTGACATTTATTATTTATATATATTAAAATAGTAACAATTGTGTAATTTACTTACGATAAACGATTGTGTTTGACGAAAAACAATTTTCACCGATTGATATGACATTTGATGGTATTGTAACACTACTTAAACGGCTGCATTCACTAAAACAATCTTTACCAATTGATGTTACATTTGATGGTATGATTACATTCCTTAAATTTCTGCATCCATAAAAACTTCTACAATTTATTGATCTCACACTAGATGGTACTGTGACACTTAAGAGACTCTTACATTCATAAAAACACGTTTCACTAATTGAAATCACACTTGATGGTATGTTAACACTACTTAAACTACTACAATAACAAAAACAACCATTACCAATCGATACGACACTTGATGGTATTGAAATGATACTCAAATTGGTACATCCACAAAAGCAACCTTCACCAATTTTATTTATACTAGATGGTATAGAAACATCACTTAAACTATTGCATCCTTCGAAACATTTATCACTTAATATAGATACACTTGATGGTACTGTGACACAACAAAGACTTTGACATTGATAGAAACAATTGTTACAAATTGATGTCACACTCGATGGTATCACAAATGCTGTTAAATTGTTGTACGTGTTACGATTTTTATCATTGATTATACTAACACTTGGCGGTATTTCCACACTACATAATGTTCCATAGCCAAACAAGCATCTTATGCCAATGATATTAAGAAATTGTTTTATTGTAACACTGCTGAGACTACTACAATGCTGAAAAATTTTATAACCAATTGATGTCACATTTGATGGTATTGTAATACTCTGAAGACAACTACATAAATAGAAACAATCTTCACCAATTGATATCACACTCGTTGGTATCGTAACACCGCTAAGACGTCGACAATTAAAGAAACACTTATTACCAATTGATGTTACATCTGATGGTATATTATCACCAAATTTGTGTCTGTTTTTATGATTAAAAGTCACATTTTTAAACTTAATGTTTTTATTTTTGTTAATGAAAATAGTTTTATAATCAACATTGAACCACACAATAATATTAAAGAAACTTTTTGTTAAAACTATTGTTCTTTTTATGTTAAGATCTACATATATATCATTTTCTGAATTGTAATTAATGCAAATTATATCCTTATCGTCTTCGTAAGGGTTGGTGTTGACAATAAATCCATTTCCAAAATTCTCATCATCTTTATCCCACAAGTGAAGTGTTTCAATATTTGAAAAGTATCTTATCGTTTTGCAATTTAACGGAATTGGGTTGAAATGGAACTTTTCCATATTGCCACAAAACTTTTTGCACACAAATTCCAATTTAATAAAGTCTGTAATTGCAATTAAATACTTCGAAACTATCATGACATGATAGCTGTCAAGTGTAACCATTTTGATATACAAAGTTGTTACGATATTTAAATATTGAAAAATTCGTTTTTGTAAACATTATTATCTAATTATATGATTGATATTTTAATCAATAATTTTATTTATTATACTTTATAAATATACTATATTTTTTTTAAAAAAAAAAAGCTATATTGATAATTTCAAAACAAATCTTTTTTCGAAAAAATAACATTCAATAATGATTGTTATTTTTGTTGTAATTCAAAACCCATTAAATATAGCCAATCATCACAAATTTAATACGGTAAAAAATGTATTTTTAGTTTATTTGTTTTTTAACTAATTTAATGAATATAGTAGTAAGAGTTAGAAGCTTGACGATCAGTACTGCAAATCGGATTCAACTTGTGGCTAGCCCGTGTTAATTTTTAAATATTTTCAGCCAGAATTTGTGTTTGGAACTATTATTTTTAATTCGTTGAATAAATTAATTAGGATTTGTCAGCCAGTAGTGATAAAAAAATGGCTAGCCACAAAATCGTCCAAACTATACACATTCTAAAATGATGGTAAAAAAGAAAACCATTTAAATAATGAGGAATAGAAAATATAGTTATATGTAGTTTTGAAAAGCCATAACAAATCTCCATGTTTTTTTAATAGTTTTAAAACATAGTAAATTAAATTAATGGTAATAGTTTTTTTGTGTCAAACAAAAAATACATAAGTAAATTATAGTAATAAATGATTATTTATTCAGAAATAAAAAACACAAAAAACAAAAAGACAAAAAACAATTTGTTATATTATTAAATTATTTTATATTTATGTTTTTAAAAATGTTTATTTTTGTATAATTGTAATGTATCACAACCATCTTTATTTTGAATAATTTATATAACATAAATATGAACATTTAATTGTTTGATATGTTGTGTTTTTGGTTTCAGATATTTCTTATTTTTTATGAATATAATAATTAGGATTTTTGAAGTATTTCAATTAATTATTCTACAAAACGATGTGGTAATGATAAAATAAAGTATTGTTATTTGACATGAACTCAAAATACACATTGAATAAATTACCTCAATAAAACAAGTTTTGAATTTTAAATAATAAAGAAAATGATCATAATATTCATTATTAACAATTTGTTTTTTAAAAATATAATAGTGTTACATTTAACACAACAACTCAGTGATTATTTAACTGTGTTTTGAAAGGAATAATACACATAACAAATTGTAAATGATATGTTATTTTTAAAATAAAATTAATTGTTTTTGTGAGTCCAAACAAATTGTTAAATTTTGTACAAGTCGATTTAAAGTTGTTAACAAGTTGTATTCAATTTAGAATAAAAACTATTATCATGTTTTCATTGTCAAATGTGCTGTATAGGACACAACGAAATTAACATTAATATAAATATAATTATATGGTATCGTCCAACCTTGTAATGTCAATTTATATTTTTATAATTTTCATTTAATAAAACAACAAACTATCATATAAATTAATTTGTGTCAAGATTTTAAGTCACTTAATTTTATAATTTGGTTTAAATAATGCTGATATTCTAATATTTAAAAAAAATATAAAAACTCTTTTTGTGTTTTATTTGATATACTGATTCATTTCTAATGAATACAATAAAACAGTGATTACTTTAAGGTTTGAACAAATCAAATTATATATTATGTTCTAACACAAAATGTGATGACAACATTTTTATTTTACTTAATTCCAATAAAATTTTTATATTATTTATTTATGCCATTCAACTTACACTTGTTCTCAAAATTATATTTTTTTTATTTTTCTTATATTTTTGGTTTAGATATTTAAATTTTTTTATTTGTTTTTTTCTGGTTATTACTTGTTTTTCAAAACACTTTTGGTCTTATTATTTGAAGGACGGAATAAAGTGCAGTTTTGAGCATATTATTCAAAAACGTTCCCAAAACAGCATATTTTTTATTTTTTGATAATTATTTTCTTTAAATTAAGCAAAAATAATTTTTTTGAATAGGATTATTTATTTTATCCAAAAAGATAAAATACCATTTTTTCTTTTTCAAAAAACGATTTTTTAATTTAGGTTTGCAGCCCTGTTAAAGGGGGGCTAAAAACCCGCTTCCGTCTTTTTAACCGCTTCCACTTGATTTTATAGAATTAAATGATATTAATAAAATAAAATGTATTGTACTGTTTACCATGAAGGCTTAATATGTTTCGTGGAGACTTTTTCTGTCCGAGGTGGTAATTTGTATTATACTTTTTATTATAATGTTATTAGTTATAACTATTAAATTGTTAGGAAGTGGTTAAAAAGACGGAAGCGGTTTTTATACTCCTTGTAATACTATTTTATTATATTATCATATAATTAATAATAACTATAAATCTTAATATTATTCTAATAAATTTATAATAATTTTACAATTTTCAAAGAAGTGAATTTAATAGAAAAAAGTAGATTACTAACAACAAATTTTGTTGTTTTTTGCTTCAAAATATTGGTATTCATATTACATTTGATCGGTCATGCCCAATATGGATATCAGTCAGAATGTTCGAAATTAATGTTTATAATGGAAAAGATACTGATGTTTTGTTGTCGAAAAAACAAAAAAGTTATTAAACAATACAAAGTAGATACATTAAAAATAACTAGTTGGGGAACTGATGAAACTCTCAATGAGCAAAGTGAGAATGGCATGAATGGGTTATTATCCAACTAGTTTTCTAAACTTATTAGGAGAACAATGTGCATCTTTCCAATGTGGTGCAAATGCCACTTATTAAATCTCTGTTTTGCAGAATGTTTGTAATCCAAAAGTGCGTCATGAACTGTTTATTTACTATTCAATGTCATTTTTTTTTCAAAAACTCAAAGTTTAAAAAACTTTTCAAATGTACCCCTCCAACTTATTGTACAACAAAGTGGTTATTAATGGAGGTATTTTTTAAATGGGCATTAAAAAATTACGACAAAATCCACAATTATTTAATGAACTTTGAATTAAAAGAATTGAAATATGGTGAAATGACAGTGAAAGAGATGAACCAACAACTTTGCAGTGTTCATTTAAAACTAAATATAGCATTTCTCTTAGACACTTTAAAACAACTAGAAAATTTAAACCAAGAACTTTAGAAAAATGCTGTGTTCTTTCGATCAATTCACAAGATTAAACAATTTAAAGATAAAATTTATAAAATGAAAAATAACACAATAACACACACTTTTAATTAATTTCCAAATTTTAAGTTGTTGACAACCCTTTATAATGTTGATATAATAAATGCTATAAAAACATTGGACATTCTTTCTGATACATTAGAATTGAGATTTTGATATGTTGTATCATCTTTAAGATTCAAAGAGAATTGCACTAATTATATTGAAAACTATCGAGACAAAATTAATCGAAACAAATATGTGAAACAATCTTTTAAAATATTCAATTACTATATTGGTAATTTACAATTATGAAATATATATCATATTTTTCAATTCAAAATTAAATGGTCAATTATTTAAAATTCAATTTATTTTTGTCGTTAATTTAAGAGTGTTAACGTGATAGGGTGTATCCACACCGAAATTGTGAATCCCCGCGGATTGGATTATTTTGTGTGGATAACCTCTTGTTTTTTTGTCGAAAAACCCAAATAATCGTTTTAAACCATATGTTATGATTTTTGAATTTAATGATTGTTACTTATGATCATTAATGGGACAAAAATCATATACAAACATGAATACCCCCATAAGGAGTATTTCCAATATTTGCAATAATTTCATAGTAAGAAAAAACGCTATTTTCAGCCTTTTTTTGAAGTGGTAAACTAAGAATAGATCAAAATGAACAAATAAAATAACTAACAAAATTTACGTGTATTATCCCGTTTATTTGATATATGTAAGGCTATTTTTTTCGTTTTTTAATTGAACAAACATTTCAAAAGTGATTTATTAAATTATAATTTGGGATAATTCCCGTTTTTTGCATTAAAAAATATTTAATTTAAATATCAATTATAAATAATATCATTTTTTTTGTTAATCGTGGCTCAAAAATGCATTTGTCATCACTTTTAACTAATAGTATTGTAATTTATATAAACACTCCATTAGTTTATTATTTTAATAGTAATATTTGGGAATTGAAATTTGTTAAATAAAGTTCTTTTAGTTGGAGCAAATTATACGTATAAAAAGGGTTTTACATCCTAAATTATATTCTGGTTTTGTTGAAAATGTTAAATTTGAGGTTTTATGTCTAAACTAAACTATTAATTAATACCAATAAATTGTATTACAATAGAATATTATTGATGAACATAAAAATGACAGAATAATCACAGAACAAATTCTATTAACATAGTTGAATAAAATTAAATTTTTACTATAAAAACAGTAAAAAGTTAAATGGCAAATTACCACATTGTAACAATAAGTTATTTTTTATGTTATTAAAAAATCATAACAACACAAGTTAATTAGAATAGAAATATTCGTCAAATACCAACAAAAACCATCAAAAAATAATGCAAGTTACTCATTACATTTAAAACATAATAATAAAGATTGTCTGTCTATATTTACCATTTTCATTTTTTCAACCTATCCACACTTAACTATGCATTAGTTTTTTATGACAAATTATATGTTATTTTATAAATTATTCAATTTCAATATTTTTTTATTACATATAGTTTATACAATTAAGTAAATAAATTAAAGTTAATTAATATAAAAAATTAATGTTTTAATTTTTAACAAATTTGTTTTTTTGCGGCAAATTCGTTTAAATGGTAAAAGTAAAAGATGACTTTGACTAAAAATAAAATTTGTTTTTTCTGTTTTAACTTTCAAAAAATCGCTTTTTTATGAATGTGGTACAAAAAACGTATTTTTTTCTAAACCCTTAGGTAAATTAAATTGCAATTACAACACAAATGTGTAAGATTTTCAAAGCCATCCACACAAAAGTAATTTATCATGTTAACATTCTTAAATATAAATA